GGGTTCCAGTCGAGGCCTTGTCTTCTCCTACGGCTGACGTGGACGTAAACGAGTCAAAGAGCACGCCTTGGGGTCTGCTGTTTGACGGTCTAAAGACAGATTCTCCAGCAGCGCCCCCACCTACCTGGCAGGTGACAGAACATCATCTCAAGGTAAAAGCTGGCTGTGTGTGACGTCGAGGTCTGACCAAAGCTGAACATAGAACGCTTCGCCCGTCTGGTTAAACCCACATTATTTAAGAAAAAAGTATAGAAAAACTAACAGCTTTCTTCCTCCTTTTTTTAAACCTTGTCCTTGCCAACTCCTAAGATAAACAGCCTCAAATGTCTGGTATTTAACATCTAACTGACGTTTGTGTTTCTATTTAAGTGTGGTTAACAATTAAGAAGTTAAAAGCTTGTTATTGTTTGTCCCAAAACTTTATAGGAAATTAATTGTTCACAATCAGGTGTACTCTAGTTAATTTTGTACGATTTGTAAAATAAACGATCGCATATTGTGGTTCAAATCAACATTCACTGACTGAGAGTCACTTTTTGTGTCCATTCATTTTTGCACTAAAGGAATGTTTATCCAAAATAAATGAGATCCTTGCTAATTAAATTACTCTTATAACCTTGTTATAAGAAGTGTAAGCTGACCCTTACACTACCATTGTTTCATCATCATCAKCTTCTACAGTGGAGGGAGGAAGCTGTCTCTGGTCAATACAATGAACATCCATTGTATGAAAACAGCACCCCCCTCAGACGTCCATTGGTTCTTAGAGCTATRTACTCTGGTTGAATGTCCTACTGGTTGTGAAGTTTATCGAAGGTGTTCAAAATCAAAATGTTAAAAAAATGATCTGATGCCACTTTAATTCTTTYAGAAATCACAGCAAGATGACCAGAATGTTTTTTGGGCCTGGCTTGAAGTCTTTTGTGAAGTAACTTATAACTCAATTGCTGCAACTGTGCTTTTTAATATTRCTGTGTAGAGCTTGTTGACCAAATGGGTTTTTCCTCATTGAAATTCAATTTTAGTATCACTGCTGAAGGGCATTGTGCACACAAGCTTATTTTACCAGTTACAAAAGGCCAGAGGATTCAAACAGAAACCTGCTTAGTGACGCCACAAAAATGGACTGTAGTTCTACTATAAAGCACACTGACTGTGTGTGGTTGTGGTCTTTGGATTTTTGAAAGTCCAAGTGGTTCCCCAGTTTCTTGACGAAAAAAGGAAAGTTTGTTTTATCAAGTTTGCATTCAGAATAATTTAAAATTACATATTTAAAAAGTATGGGGTAATGCAAAATTGAGTATTTTGAGCTTTATATCATGTATGTCATTCCCTCATCAAAAACATACCCAGAGGACTGCTTTGACTCATTCATACATGTTTGAGAAATTCTTGGGTCTTCTGTGGTAGCCATGTGGAGCTGTCTAAACATTTAATGGTACAAAGCTCCACCCAGTGTACTTAGCTCCTCGCAGGAGTTCAGTCTGCAGCTGAGCTTCCGCCCCACAGAGCACCACTCCCTCGAATCATTGTTGTGAAGATGTGCTAGAGTGTGAGTGTCGGAAACGATGGTAGGTTCCTAAAGAGACAGAGGCCAATTTCAAGGCATTTAGGTAACCTGTGATGCTAAATCACATTTTTTATTTGTATATAATTTTTATAACAACTGAATGTAACGTACCTGATTGTGGTATAGAATTGAAGTATATCAGTGGAAAATGCATAATACCCCTTTAAGGTCATTATTCTAATATAGTGTTCAAAACGTAACATTGGCTGAACTATAGCTGTGGGTCCAATAAGTGAGTGTTTACGCACAAGTCTAAAGCTCCGGTTATTCTTCACAATAGGAAAGGCATGAAATCTTGTCGTGATTTAAGACACTCTTTTTTGCCTGAACAATTCATACTAAGAGAGAAACTGCTAGGGAGAAGTCCTGGTAAGGCCTTCCACTGCAGCACATCACACACAAACAGTAAAAATACATATAGCATAGATAGCAGTGTGTGAGTGGATCTTTCAGTTTATGATAGAGGAGTTGGAGGTAGATCAGATGTTTGTGTTGTTAACCAAGGAGAAATGCAATTTTGTAAATTTTAATTTAAAGATACCAACATTGTGCTGACTAACTTGCAAAAGCTGGCAGCCAGGCTCACTTCAAAGGACCAGAGCCTGTTGTAGGTATCTCAACAACAGTCTGTAGGACTGTCCTACAGGCCTGGATTAGATGTCTTTTTTTTTCTTTGATGGCCTCCCTTCTCCCTTTATAGCCATCCTCTCCACACCATTATTATGAAATATTTATACATATTTTTTTATAATAGAAGAAAAAAGAGAAAGAAAAAAGTGAAATGTAATGAGAGAGTGAAAAAGAGATTAGAAGATATGTAAAATATATGTTGAGAAAACACAAGACAGCATGCCGGACTTATTGGCTCCACACCTTTTTTTTAAGTGAAGAGAAAATAGAGACAGAGAGAAAAACAGAGAGAGAAGTAATTAGAAAGATA